AATCATAATAAAGTTTACACTGCTAAAGCAAATAATGCAGTAAGATACATCTCTGTAGTCAGTTTCTAAGTCCAGTGGTTGCTTGTTAATTATCTTAGCAAACTTCCCTCAAGACTGCTCTATAATCACTTTAGTATTTTTAATATTTAAAACTACAATTACTCAAACTCATCTATGTGATAATAATAAGCTGTTTTATATTAAGCTGTGTCTTAACATTCTTTTGCATTTAAAATAGTTGTATTTCTAGAAAGTCACAAAATTTAGTATTGGTATAAACTGAATAGAGGGTGATATTCTAAACAGGACCCAGAATTCATTAGTCCAGTATTAAACACACCCACAGGCAACATGGGGTTTGGAACTCACCACGTCTGCCAAACTGCCCAGAAATCAATACACTAGTATAGAAAATACTATCAAGTGGCATGAACTTGGATTTGGCTTGTAGTTTGGTCACAGATGTGATGAGTGGTTTGGAAAAAAAAATCACTTAGAATGAAACAGTGTTAGGATTAATAAGGGTTTCAGAGCTTTTGTAATCTCATCCTCTCTTTGTGAGAAACTTAAGTCCAGGGAGATTAGCAAATTTACTTAAGGTCAGACAATGAGTTTAAGTGAGTTGCAGTGCCAGCCCAGTCCCTGTGACCCCAGTCTAGCATCCTTACCACTAAATAATTCTGTCTCTGTGGCACATTGATTACATCAGAAGCCAGATTCTGTTCTCTCTCAGGGTAGGCCAGGTGGAGCAGGTGCAGGTCCCCTCTGTGCTCTGCTCTTTTCTTTGGCAATCCTGCACTATCCCCTCTGGGGCTGCAGACATCTCTTTGAAGTGCTCCCAGAGCTGCACCCCCAGAGCCTGTGACTTAAGAGATGAGTCAGGCTTATGTGCAGCCTCATGAGGTGTGTTCATGCATGCAAGTCTGTGCATGTATACACACCACCCCTCCACATATGCATAGCTACATCATTCTATCACTAAGATGGGGTAGGCATATTCCTCCAGAGTGAGTACAGAAATCAATTAACAGAGACTATACCCTGAACACTCTAAGGAAGCAAAGTCTGTGTGTGAAGCCTTGGAACAGATGGATAAGTAGTGTAAGATAATTTTAACAGCCCAAGTCACTTACCTTTGGTGTTTAGAGAGCTTTTGCCATATTGTGTATGTGGTATGACTCTCTGGGGTGGTCTTAGTTTGCAGGTTATGACTTGGGGTGCAGGGACTCCAGAGGTGGTAGCACCTTGAGTCAAACTATTAAAGATACCTGAAATCACAGGAGATGTCTATTATTGGACATCCCAGGAAGCAAGTATTTTCTACAGTAGAGCTACAGGTTTCATGAAAGTATAATGTTATCTAGATTAACAAATTACTTAGGGCTGAGGTGGTTGAAGGATGAGCGATGAGGTCTCAGGTGTGGCTGTCTTGAGAATGATCTAGTTGAGTGAATGGCCTCGTTCCCAGAACCCAGAGGACTTAGTCACTTGATATACAGAAGGGAAGTCTCTGAATCATTCATGGTAGGAGATGGTTGATATATGTATTTAGAGTAGTTGCCCTTTTAAAATATACATAAAATATACATATGTCATGTAAATAGCCTATATCAAACTTATCCTGTCTCTTTAAGTATCCATTCATTAAGTGTATTTCAGGGCTTTAAAATAATTTGTGATTTAATAGTAACTCCATATACCAGATAGCCCTGTGAGGTCACCTTCCTGCTCTCCTCCAACACTGCAGGGATAGGCCAGTGCCGTCTCTTCATGGCCCTCCTGTTGCTGGTGGGAGCCCAGCCTGGCTACACTGGGTTTGGTAGAGATTGTGCTCCTGAGAAAGAAGTCAATCAATCTTTTTTGGACAAGTGCTGCCCTGAACTGGCTGCCGAGGCACCAAATGATGGGCAGTAATGCCTCTTAGAAAAGAGCTGGTTTTCCAGGAATGTGCTTTCGTGGCAATGCCTTCCTCACTTAGAGGGAGAAGTAACAGGACAAGGAGAGAGGGTGTGTGCCAGATCACAGCAGAGCCTTGGACTCACAGCAGCCAGAATGGTCTCTCTTCACCTCAGCTTCTTAGCCCAAGGGAACAGCTTTTCACCCCTTAGGTCAGCTGAGTTTTCCAGAGAACATTAACAGGCAACTTAGGTGAGTGATTTCAGTTCTCTCCTGCTGCTGGTAACAGAAATGTTAGCCCATTGCTGAAGCATTTCTTCTTGCCAATGCAAGCTCCTAACCTGACAATGTGGGGGTACTGTCAATACCAGTGTTGTTTTGAGATGCTTGCTGCTGGTGAAAGCTCCAAATGCTCCTAACTAGACTTCTTTTGTCCACCCCTATCCTGACCCCTTCCATTTAGAATGGGTTTGGAAGCCTTGGTGGAATCATATGCATTCTGGAGACCATCACTACGGACTCTGACCTTTGAAGATATCCCTGGAATTCCCAAGCAAGGTAACTCACAAAGTCTCCTGGGTCATATATACAGCTCATTCCTGCCTAGAAACTCGGGCACTAAAAGTGTACAAGTCATTATTTATACTTACAATAATGACCTCATCACCAACATTGTCCTACAGATTCTGCATGGTATAGGGATGGATCAGGAAAAAATGGCTCTCTTGGTCACAGATTAAATCTTAGATGTCTTAGGCTGTTTATATATTTCATGACCTTTACCTCATCCTTAAATCTCATATTAAAATTAGAGGTGCTCTCATGCCAGGTGCTCTTCACAAGAAATTGTTGATGGTGCCCCCACTCCACCCTTTCTTCACATCTTGTTTGTTTTCTTTCTTCAGCAGAATTGCCTCTGGGCAGGGTTCTCCTGTTGGGTTAATGATGAGAAGGGCGGGCACATTCAGGCAGATTCTCCTGGGCTCATCTTTGAATATTTCTCAGCAGCCCAGGGCTGATTTCTCCTCAGAGGGAACTGCATGGAAAGCGATGTTGCTTCCTCTCTGGTCTGCTCCATAGGTAACACTCTCAGCTCACTCCTACATTTAGGCTTTTTACCACCATCCTGCCCAGCTTCCAGTGAGAATTTACTGTGCTGGGTTTCAGATAATCATTGATTGGACTGGGCTTTTGGATTATTTTGAGTCACTGTGCAAAACACCATCACCAGAGCAATGAAGGTTTTACAACCTGTCCAGCCCTTTGGAATTCTCCTCTCCCCTTAAGTTCTGTCAAGTTTGCAAACATCAGTCTGCCAGCAGATCCAGAGGGGGCACCATCGCTGCCATTGGTTGGACACAGGGTTAACTACCCTCTCTGAGTTTCACAGGACTGTTTATTTGTTGGACCTCTGCTCATGTATTAGCATGTGATTCAACAACTTGTTTTCTAATTGGAAATGAGATTTTTCAACCAGATAATTCCTTGAAAGCTGAGACCATCTCCTTTTCATCTCTGTAGCATTCCCCCAACCCTTGCCTTGTAACAAGCTGTGTCTAACTCATATTTACAAAATTGAAGGAAAGGATGACTGTGGAGTCATTCTTTACATTTCAACTTCTTTTGTAGGCAATGCAAGTTCCTCCACCTTGCTCCAAGGTACTGGGAATGGCGTTCCTGCCACTCACCCTCACCTTTTGTCTGGCTCCTCTTGCTCCTCTCCTGCCTTCCATCTGGGGCCCAACACCAGCCAGCTGTGTAGTCTGGCCCCTGCTGACTATTCTGCCTGTGCCCGCTCGGGCCTCACCCTCAACCGATACAGCACATCTTTGGCCGAGACCTACAACAGGCTCACCAATCAGGCTGGTGAGACCTTCGCCCCACCCAGGACTCCCTCCTATGTGGGCGTGAGCAGCAGCACCTCCGTGAACATGTCCATGGGTGGCACTGACGGGGACACCTTCAGCTGCCCACAGACCAGCTTATCCATGCAGATTTCAGGAATGTCCCCCCAGCTCCAGTATATCATGCCATCACCCTCCAGCAACGCCTTCGCCACTAACCAGACCCATCAGGGTTCCTATAATACTTTCAGATTACACAGCCCCTGTGCACTGTATGGATATAACTTCTCCACATCCCCCAAACTGGCTGCCAGTCCTGAGAAAATTGTTTCTTCCCAAGGAAGCTTCTTGGGGTCCTCACCGAGTGGGACCATGACAGATCGGCAGATGTTGCCCCCTGTGGAAGGAGTGCACCTGCTTAGCAGTGGGGGTCAGCAGAGTTTCTTTGACTCTAGGACCCTAGGAAGCTTAACTCTGTCATCATCTCAAGTATCTGCACATATGGTCTGATGAAGCCTTTAAGTTAAATGACATTTGAATCTGTCTAATGTATTTTCTTTTTCTTTTTTAAAAGCTATGTGGAAACTCTCTGTAGTTTATAAAATGTACATATAATAGAAAATGAAGGCTCACTGGGTTTTTTGACTTTATCATGGTGAGATTGTAATTATCTATGGTATATATGTATGCTGTATATACATAGCACATGGAGTATCACAGCCCCTATTGTTCCCCTGCTTCATCCAGTTGCACAGAGTATTGGCATGTGTGTAGTATATTTAAGCAAAGTTCTCAGACTCTTTTAAAAACAAGATGGTAAACTTAAAACTTGGCAATGATACTATCCAGATGAACACTTATAACTTAATTTATCAGAAAAATACTCTAAACGGTTTCATACTTGACATGTTGATAGCCAATAGTAACCAGCATGTAGAGTCTTGTGATTTCTGTTATTCTTGGACACAGTGTGAGAATCTAAAATACAAAAGCCAGTTGAAGTCTTAGTGTTAGTTCTGAGGTATTTGTAATCAACTTTTTCACTCCTGCTTATTCTTATTTACCACAGATACCATATGACCTTGGGTCTATAAAAAATCATAACCCATAATAATTGTTATTTTCTTAAGGAAGGTAAAGGAGAGGCTTATGTTTTTTTTTTGACTTTGCATTGGGCACATAAGAGGTTCTTATTCATCTGTAGAGAACAAATTTCCAGTATTTTTTATTTCTTGCTTATTTTAATTATCAAATAGACCGTTAAAGAATGTTCTATAAACATTTTTAAATTCCAATTTTCACCAGGAGAGGAATATGTGATATGAATGGAATGGCAAAAGGAAAATAAGTCCACCTCAAATTCATTGATTCCAATGAGAAATGTCTATCTTTTAAATCAAGAGTAATACTCTTGTTAACTATACCTTATGTTTTTGTATAGTTTGAGCTTCCTGACCCATAGTATATAAGTAAAAAATGCATTTATGCTACTTATTTATATCTTGTAATTCTACACATTCAATCCTTTCCCCCTCCTTAACCTTGTCCGTCTGCCTGCGTCTTTGCCAAAACAGATAGTTCCTAAGCCTGTATGGTGTTAAATAACGCGGTGAGGAATTTCAGTGGGTTATCTCCAGCAATCTGTCTTTTGGGAGCTATAGTGCAAAGGCCAAAGCCCATTACTATAAAGGCCCTCTTGGAGGACTAAGGAGGAAGATACTAATTATGATAAAGGAACTATAAAACTTTTAACCTCAACAGAATTTGTAACCTCAGAACTGGAGAAATTAAAATCAGTATTAAATGTTTTTAATTCCTAAAATAATATATGCATGGTTGAATAGTTAAAAACAAGTAACTTTGAGAGCACATTATGAGATAAATGAAAAAGGCTAAGAATACATGATGAGGCACATTCCCCTTCTGAGGAGAAAGTAAAATAACATGTCTGTGCATTGACCCATTCATTACATTTCATATATCTTAAACAAAAGAGCATGATTTCCTCTCATTGCTAAACAGAATTGCTTTAACTCATCCCTGGATTTGGTGGGGAAAGGGTACAACTCCTGATTTGCTGTTTCACTTTGAAACAATACAATTTGTTAGATATTTAGGGGGATATACTGTTGAAATTGCACAGGATGTGATTCTGTTTATACATACTAACAAATTTCCTTTTGGATTCCTTAGCAGTTCATCAAATTAGTATTGAATTTTTAAATTTAAAACTAGCTTGAAGGGACATGAAATATTTGCGGTAGGTAGATCTATGTAAGATGTTTGGGTATGGCATTAATAGCTTGACAAAGATTTGGGGAAAGGCGTTAAGAATGAGTCCATCTCAGCCGTAGTGCTTGGTGTATAATTCAAGAACAGAGAGTTTCCCATCTTGAAAAAACATGGAAAGTAATGCTCTATACCCATATGTATTAATAAGAACATTTTCCTTCTTGCTGTTGATAATTTCAGATGATACTACAATATGAGTATAATTTTTTATTAACCTTTTTTGTGGTAAAATTCTAGCAATCTTGTACAAATGCTGTTTGTTTTTTAGGTTTTACTGTAAATATTAATCACCATGTCACTTCAGAGACTAGCCTTTTATTGCTGAATTAAATGACATGCATACCTGGATAGTTATATATCTGTATTTTATTAAAAAGTACTTAAAATTATATTAAAGTGTGTTATTAAACCCTTTTATGATTTTCGAGGGTAATCATTTTAGTGTCTAAAAATATTGTTTCTAGAATAAGCACACACATGCATACCCCAAATGCAAATTCTGTACCTCTCAATCACATGGCAGAAAGAAATGGGCCTGCTGTTCATTCTTCATGTGTTAAATATAATTTCTTGGTGTGTTGACCATGTCATTGAAGGTGAAGGCCCTGACAAATGTTGAACACATGAAAATTTGAATGTGAGAGGAAAGGGATGGGGTGGTATGTTTTGTTTTGAGTCCAGGGGAGAAAAGCAAGGTTACAAGAATGAGTGGCTTGCACCACTGACTAGTGATGACAGATTACTTCTATGCCCCTTGACTAGTAAACATTCCAAGGGACATCGTGATGGGGTGAGGTTGCTGCTATCAAGACCGGTCACATTTTGAAAATTAACACTTGCTTCCTTACAAGCTGCCTTCCAGAGGTCAACAGCTTTTCACAAGTGAGGCACCCAGTTGCTGACCCTTGATTTCTGGAATGTAGGGGGTCAGGAATCCTTGGTGGCCCCCAGAGGAGGTTGGGGCACAGCGTAACCTATATAAGGAAGGATCATACTCACTCTTTACATCAATTAGCAAAATTCTGAGGAAAAGCAACCTCACTTTTAAAATGTAAATAGCTCTTCATCACCTCTCCAGACCTAATCCTACCAGTAACTCACACCTTAGTGTGAAATTAATAAACAGCAGCTTTGGAGATAGCTGGAGGTTTGACTTGGAGGAACAAAAAGAGTAATTTTTGCAGCAGGACAATTCTGGGAAGATTTGTATGGGAAGGAGAAGGTGCAAGAAGAGAGATCCCTAACTAAACTATGCAGTGTCCCATGAAGTCCTGGTGCAGAGCATTAAAAATAATCATTTCATAAACTTCTTTCAGGAGCCTTGGTAGAGCTGTTGGATGCTACCCTGATGCTGTCTCTAATTAGAGAGATTTGTAAAGAATGCTTTGTTGCAAAGTGTAACACAGTGTTATTTCCTCATGAGAAATTTATTGGCTCATCTAAATGAAGGTTTTTCTAAGCTTTCCCTTAAGAACTAATTGTGTTAAATTATTACCATGTTGTGTTTTAATCTCATTGTTCATCCTTTCTAAAAAGAAATGCTCAGATAAGTTGAGAGTAAGGTTAAATATGTGAGCAGTTAAGTACTCATACATGATTACAACATTCTAGGAGCTCAAACTTTAAAAATTATCAGTGCTAGAAATCGACAAATATATTCAAGTATACAAACATTCAACAGATATATAAACTTAGTATCCCTCTACATGCTGATAGATTTTCAAATAATGTGCTGTCTTTTCATTGAACTTTGGTATGATGAGAACAACATTGCCTTGGGAATTAGAGAACTTAGTTTCAAACTATGGGTTTCTCAATCATGATTTTGGGTAAAAAATTAGCTGCTTTATGTCTCAGTTTTGGTATGTGTGAAAGGAATGGCTGGGATGATAATTGTTACTATTCCTTTTAGTTTCTAATTCATATGGTCCTATTATATAAATATTTAGCTTGCTATTGGTAAACTAGTTTTATAAAACTATTGTATCTTTTGGAATATATTCTGTTTATTTTTGAATATATATACTGTATGGCTTTACAAAGAACATAACACTATCAGTATTATTTTTGATTTGTTGAATTTTGTGGAATTTATCCTTTAAATGGAACTGTGCTTTAGTTTTATAGGATAAATTTTAGTATTTTAATATTAGAAGAAAGCTATACTTAGTAACATATTTGCTACTTTATAGTGAATAGTAAAAGATATTAATAAAATTTCCTTTTCGTGATGCTCTTAATTACATGGCATTAAATTATTTTGTTTTGAAATAAGTATGGCAGTCTACTGTAATATATGGAGATCATTCCAAGTCCATTGAAAATACATTTAAATCTTCAAGAAAACACTTGAACTTGTCTTTTTGAATGATTTTATTCCTACTGAGACTCAGATACAATAATATGATGCAGTTTATTACTCTGCAATTCACTGAGTTTATACAAGGCTGAATCAACACACACATCCTATGTCCATATTTTAAAATCATATTAATTATGTCACTACAATTACTTAATGAAAAGACCAAGACATTTTTCTAAATAACACCTATATTGAGATACAATTCACATGCCATGTAATTCATCTATTTAAATTGAACAATTCAATGGTTTTAATATGTTCACAGAGTTGTGTAACTATCACCACAATCAATTTTAGAACATTTTTATCACTCTGCAAAAAAACTCCATGCCCATTATTAGTCACCTTCCTTTTCCCTCCACTCCTTCCTTATCACCAAGTCCTAGACAACCACTGACATGCTTTCTGACTTCATAGATTTGCCTGTTCTGGGCACCTATGTCAAAGGAATTATACAATACGTGGTCTTTGGCACTGACTTCTTTCACTTAGCATAATATTTTCAAGGTTCATTCATGTTGTGGCATGTATCAATATTTCATTTTTAATGCTGAATAATATTTTGTTGTATCAATATACCACAATTGTTTATCTCTTCGTTAGTTGATGGACATTTGGGTTGTTTCCACTTTTTAGCTGTTATGAATAATGCTGCTATAAAAATTTCTGTACAAGTTATTGTATAGACATACATACACTTTCATTTCTCTTGGCTATATATCTAGGAGTGGAATTGGAAGGTTCTGAGGTCACCTTTTGAGGAACCACCAGACTGTTTTCCAAAGCACTTGCACAATTTCCCATGCTTACCAGCGATGTGTGAGCGTTCCAGTTTCCCCACATCTGCACTGACAGTTGTTATTATCAACCTTTTTTATTACAGCCAGCCTAGTGGGTGTTATGTCTCATTGTTGTTTTTATTTGTATTTCCCTGATGACTCATGACATTGAACATATTTTTCTGTGCTTTATTGGCCATTTGTATATCTTCTTTGGAGAAATATCTATACAGATCCTTTGACCATTCTTTAATCAGGTTGTCTTTTTATTATTGAGGTGTAATAATT